TGGTTTGGTTTGCTGTGACGACAATCCTAGCTGTGGTCCTATTATCATCACCGTTCGGTCTATTTGGTTGGTTGAATGGTTGTCAATCACAGGCGGCCGAGTGGCTTGAGAAGCCGATGAAGCGAGGAGGTGAGGTTTGGAGAGAGGGTGGTGTATTTAGGGTTGTCAAGGGTAAGTTGTTTTTCCTCTTCAGTTTGGCTTTGATGGATTTTTAACGAGGAGATTCTTAGATAGTGTTTGTCTGTCTCGATATCTGTCTGATTTGCTACGCACCTACAACTAGTATTGCTGAACTTGTAGTTCTTATTTCTTCTTCTGGATATGAAATTCTTGATTCTGTATTGCTTGTCTGATCATTCTAAGTCGATTCATCCAATGATGATGATCCAATATTGGTGCCATTGGTTTATCTTTTTTACGTTGTAATCCTTGTTATTCATATGATAATTTTTTCTGTTTAGCATCTTCTTGATCCACGGTCTAAGCGTTTTTCTGATTAGCATCTTCCTGATCTACGGTCTGAGCGTTTTTCTGAACTCTATGTTCGGGAAATCAGTGTCGAAAGTCCGGATGGACATCAGAATTGTCTCTCTATTGCGTTTGTCCTATTTGGATTTTTCAAGACATCCAATCTATATTTGATCTGAGCGATTTTCTTCTTCCCAATCTTATTTGTAGCTCGATGGATTTTCTATATTCGATCTGAGCGATTTTCTTTTTCCAATCTTATTTGTAGCTCGAGGGATTTTCTGATTTCAATGGTAAGTAGTGTTTTCTCAGTAATTAGTCTTGGCGTTTGTTTCAAGTTTTTATCGACACCTTTTAATCTGTTTCGGGGGTATGGAAACTTGAGGTTCAACGTAATCTTTGTTGGGTTTTGGGCTCATCAGTATTGATCGGGGTTATTTCCTCAGGTTCGGAGCTTCTCCCTGCGAGGGCTACACAAGGTGGGAGGTGTCGTTCTTGAGAGGGTAGGGGCGGTATTGTGGGATTGTCCTTTTCTGGGCCGTGCTGATTTTCGGGTCGGCTTAGCATGGCGGTTGGGGAGAGGGGACAAGGGGTGCTGAATATAGCAAGTTGAGAGGAGAGCGGACTGTTTCACTGGGAGGGGGTGGAACAGGAGGAAAGGGGGAATTCCAGCTCTGCGGGTGCATACTTTAGGGGGAATTGTATGCTGCTGAGGGAGCGGGAATGGCCGCTTAAAGGGCTGTTCTGAACTGGGGCCGGTATGGTGAGGGGGCACCTTCCGGCTGAGGCGGTGCAAGGACAGAGGGACGTTCCTGGGGGAGGAGTAATCTTCGTTTTTTATTGAGAGTCCTTTATGAACAGTTGAGCCTCGAATGGACACCGAAGCCACCACAGGACGAGAGGGTGCTTTCCTTCTCTTCCTCTTGTTTGGTGGAGGCAGAAGGGTTTTCTCTCTGTCTTGGTCTGAGTCAAAATTCATTGAAGGAGGGTAGGGGGGTTAGAACTGTAGGTTGGAATTTAGTCAAGAGGCCTTTAATAGAGGAATAGTTGTTAGGTTAGTAGGTCAGAAGAACGAAGTTGGGACGACATAGGCCGGTGCTGGAGCTGTGGCTCTGTGACCTGGGGGGGAGCTTGAGGCTTGTGGAGTTACGCCGTGAGTGGAAGGCATAACCAGATCGTTCAACGTAGCGATGCGCCGGGTATTAACCCTGTAACCTTTTTAGGGGCTTGCCGCTATGGGAGGTGTCGAGGGAGGAAGGCACTTCCTGTCCGTCAGAGCTAGGTTGGTTGATACTGGCGAAGGTTGCGGTGCCCTGTTACCCTAGCATATAGGGGGTATGAGACCAAGTGAGTTCTGGTACGAGGACTGAAAGCCTGGACGGACTTTCCGTCTGTTGAGGGGGGATTTTAGGATAGTAGGCTGTTTTAGGTTTTGACCCCCCACTCATATCTAGATATTCTCAAAAATAAAATGACTTAGTCACTTTTATGGTTCTTCCAAAAGGATCGAGGTGAGTGGGAGAAATAGATGGTGGGATATCATGCGTCTTGCTAGTGAGGGGGCTAACTGGTAGGATGGAAATAGGGTACAGCCGCAGTGGAGATGGTGGCTCTGCTGTAGTAAGTCTTGTCGGAGTGGGGATAGGGGATTGACTGGGTGTCTGAGTCTTTTCTTGTAATTGTGTATTTCCTTTTTTCTTGATTGTGTAACCGGTTGAACGCCGTGAACGCGCGTTCACGTTCAAACGCGCGCGTTCAACCCCCCAAGCCCCGCGTTCAATCGCGTTTAAACGCGCTGCACCCGCGCGCGCGCGAAAATATTGAACGCAGTCCCGCGGGGCGCGCGCGCGCAACTGGGGCTACGAGGTGGTGGTCCGAGTTCAACAAACCACCAAAGTGCGAAAACCGCCCCCCGGGACCACCCTATGCCCCTTCCCCCACTCCGCGGTACCCACCCCCAAAACC